CATGTTGATCCAACCATTTAAGAAAATCACATCCCCAGACCCTGCGACAAAACTCAAACAAATTCAAGAAAACTGATTAAAATTTTTTTCAGTTGGAGCATCAACAGAATTCAACAATAAAAATTCAGATAAAACTTCGTGAATAAAGATTTCTAAAACACCAATTAAACTTACATGAAATATCATTAAGCATAAACATAATTAAGATTCTAGTTATTAATATTGCATAAAGTCATTCATGTTTTATCAACTTGATGAACCTTATGATATGCAAATTTCGCACAAAATGAAACTACTAACTACCGGTAAAAATTATTATTACAAAATAAAGAAAACAATAACTGAGTTTTTTTTCTTAAAATTGATTAACGATATAGTGGCTCGTGGGCATTCTGAGATTTAGGTCTCAATTGCATTATGACCTCATTATTAAGCTTTCTTAACCAAAGATGGTGACATCTACAAAACAAAATAATTGAAAATCAACAAAATATCAATAAAGTTGTAATTAATTCGCAATCAAAAAAAATAAAAATTGAATGCTTGGAACAATATCATATACTACAATCGTTATAAAATATGTTTATAATTAAGTTACGATAAAAGGGTATTCACCTCAGCAGTGCTTAGGATAATTAATGGATACACATGATATAATCTTCCTTTCGCTATTAATTTCAATAGAATGATTAAAAAAAAATAGCTTTCTCTCATCTTGTATCTGATAGACTTGGTAAAAAGTATCTATTGTAAACCAAGTGAACATTCACTTGAAACAGAAACATCAACTTAGTTTGAAGAATTTTAACTTTGAGAATTAACTAAATCACTATCATACAATGATAAATACACATTGTCAAATATAGCGTAACAGAGATCTTAGATGGTCCGTCAAATTGTACGATCTATCAACATCTTTCTGATCTATGCTACATTTCATCTTGCAAGCATCAATCATAGACGAAACTTCATTTTTAACAGAAACAAACAAAACTATATATAGTAGCCAACTTAAAGTTGTTGTTCACTTAAATATGATAATGGACAATCAAAGTACATTTAAAAGAATTTAGCACCCGCTATGTGCCTTCTGCTAACTTTTCTTGCAATGACTACTGTTTTTGTTCAAAATTTTGAAAGGAAAAGAACTCAAAAACCTTATTGCAGTCATGGACATAGACACACTTATATTAGATACTAACATATGCTTTTCTTTAAAGTATTTATAAGGAACAAAATAATATACATATATATATTGTGGCCCAAATATACCAACTCTCAAAATCATAAGACAAAATACAGTCTTGTTTTAGCAATCAAAAGAAAACAAACGAAAAGTAGGCAGAATGGAAAAAGTCTGTTACAACTTGGATGCCTTATAATAATTTCTCTTGCTTGTCCACTATTTTTTAATGTTATGAACCAGTTCCAATCCAATATTGGGCTGAGAAGAGCTATTGAGCCAAGAAGAAGCCTAAGGGCCAGAAGGCCTTCAAAAAGGTTAATTTGGGATCCAGACCCACAAAGTACAATTAGGAGCTGTTAAAAAGGACTAGCTGCTAGTAAGAAAGGATTATGCGAATTGTTATCTGGAAAACTCCCGTCTCATGGTCTCTCTCTTCCTCGTCTATTTCTCTGTGTGGCTCTATCTCCTCATCTCGTTTCTTTCTATTGCTATTTCCTTTGCATTTCTATTGTAATCAGTTTATTTGGAAGTTTAATCAAGGTATTGTTTTGTTGAGTTCATAACATTTACCATCATCCATTCTACATAAATAACTGACATCATCTGAATTTGTTATAGCAGGGCTTCTGAGTTCATTTTTTTTTTTTAATGTTATTGAAACTCGGTAATACCAGAAAAGCCATTTGCTTCTCGTAGAATATATAAATTGATACCCAAATAAGAAAGCAGATTTGAGGAGGAAGAGAATCAATGATAAAGAATGTATTTGCATTTGCATATGAAAGGAAAGAGAGAGTTGAGTTGAGGTATAGGGGAAAATCACAAAACCAAAAAAAAAAAAAAAAAAAAGG